GGACCAGGCACGCTCGTGGCGCAGGCACGCTCCTGGACCAGGCACGCTCCTGGACTAGGCAAGCTCGTGGACCAGGCACGCTTCTGGACCAGGCAAGCTCCTTGACCAGGCAAGCTCCTAGACCAAGCAAGCTCATGGACCAGGCACACTCCCGAACCAAGCAAGCTCCGGGATCAAGCAAGCTCCTCGACCACGCAAGCTCTTAAACCAGGCACGCTCCTTGACCATGCAACCTCTTGGACCAGGCCGGCTTCTAGACCAAGCAAGTTCCTGGACCTGGCAAGCTCCTGGACCACGCAAGCTTCAAGACCAGGCAAGCTCTGGGACCAGGCAATCTCTTGGACCAGGCAAGCTCCTGGACCAAGGAAGCTCCTGGAGAAGGCAAGCTCGTGGACCGGGCACGCTCCTGGACTAGGCAAGCTCCTAGACCGGGCAAGCTCCTGGACCAGGCAAGCTTCTGGACCTTGCAAGCTCCTGGACTTGGCAAGCTCCTTGACCAGACACGCTCCTGGACTAGGCAAGCTCCTAGACTAGGCAAGCTCCTCGATCAGGCAACCTCCTGGACCAGGCAAACTCGTGGACCAGGCACGCTCCAGCTCCAACAAGCTCCTGGACAATGCAAGCTCCTGGACCAGGAACGCTCCTAGAAGAGGAAAGCTCATGGACCAGGCAAGCTCCTGGACCAGGCAAGCTCGTGGACTAGGCAAACTCCTGGACCAGGCACGCTCCTAGACCAGGCAAGATCCTAGACCAGGGAAGCTCTTGGATGAGGCAAGCTCCTGGACCAAGCAAGCTCCTGGACAAGGCACGCTCGTAGACCGGGCAAGCTCCTGGACCACGCAATCTCCTGGACCACGCAAGCTCTTGGACCAGGCACGCTCCTGGACCAGGCAAGCTCTTGGACCAAGTAGGCTTCTGGACCAGGCAAGCTCCTGGACCGGGCAAGCTCCTAGAGAAGGCAAGCTCCTGGACCAGGCAAACTCGTGGACCAAGCACGCTCCAGGACCAGGCAAGATCCTGGACCAGGCAAGCTCATGGACCAGGCAAGCTCCTGGACCACGAATGCTCCTAGACCAGGCACGCTCCTGGACCAAGCAAGGTCCTGGACTAGGCAAACTCCTGGACCAGGTAACCTCGTGGACCAGGCACGCTCCTTGACCAGGCAAGCTCCTAAACCACGCAAGCTCTTGGACCAGGCAAGCTCGTGGACCGTGCAAGCTCGAGGACCAGGCAAGCTCTTGGAACAGGCAAGCTCCTAGACTAGGCAAGCTCCTGGACCAGGCAAGCTCCTGGACCAGGCAAGCTCGTGGACCAGGCACGCTCTTGGACCAGGCAACCTCCTGGACCAGGCAAGCTCCTGGACTAGGCAAGCTCCTGTAATAGGCAAGCTTCTAGACCAAGCAAGCTCGTGGACTGCGCAAGCTCCTGGACCAGGCACGCTCGTGGACCAAGCACACTCCTGAACCAGGCAAGCTCTTTCACTAGGCAAGCTCCAGGACCACACAAACTCTTGGACCAGGCACGCTCCTGGACCAGGCAAGCTCTTGGACAAGGCAGGCTTCTGGACCAAGCAAGCTCTTAGACCAGGCAAGCTCCTGTACCAGGCAAGCTCCTAGACCAGGCAAGCTCCTGGACCAGGCAAGCTCCTGGACCTTGCAAGCTCCAGGACTTGGCAAGCTCCTGCACCAGGCACGCTCGTGGACCAGGCAAGCTCCTAGACTAGGCAAGCTCCTCGACCAGGCAAGCTCGTGGCCCAGGCAAGCTCTTGGACCAGGCACGCTCCTGGACCAGGCACGCCCCTGGATAAGGCAAGCTCCTAGACCAGGCAAGGTCCTGGACCAGGCAAACTCCTGAACCAGGCAAGCTCGTGGACCAGGCACGCTCCTGGACCAGGCATGCTCCTGGACCAGGCAAGCTCCTAAACCACGCAAGCTCTTGGACCAGGCAAGCTCGTGGACCAGGCAATCTCGTGGACCACGCAAGCTCCTGGACCAGGCAAGCTCCTAAACCAGGCAAGCTCCTGGACTACGCAAGCTCCTGGACCAGGCAAGCTCGTGGACCAGGCAGGCTCCTAGACCAGGCAAGCTCCTGGACCACGCAAGCTCTTGGACCAGGCACGCTCCTGGACCAGGAAGCTCTTGGACAAGGCAGGCTTCTGGACCAGGCAAGCTCCTCGACCACGCAAGCTCCTGGACCAGGCAAGCTCCTGGACCAGGCAAGCTCCCGGACCAGGCAAGCTCCTGGAATAGGCAAGCTTCTGGACCAATCAAGCTCATGGACCACGCAAGCTCCTGGACCACGCACGCTCGTGGACCAGGCACGCTCCTGGACCAGTCAAGCTCTTGGACGAGGCAGGCTCGTGGACCAGGCACGCTCCTTGACCAGGCAAGCTCCGGGACCAGGCAAGCTCCTGGACCAGGCACGCTCCAGTTCCGGGCACGCTCTTGGACCAGGCAAGCTCCTAGACCAGTCAAGCTCCAGGACCACGCAAGCTCTTGGACTAGGCACGCTCCTGGACCACGCAAGCTCTTGGACTAGGCAGGCTTCTGGACCAAGCAAGCTCTTGGACCAGGCAAGCTCCTGGACCAGGCAAGCTCCTGGACCAGGCAAGCTCCTGGAACAAGCACGCTCGTGGACCAGGCACGCTCTTGGACCAGGCAAGCTCTTGGACCAGGAAGGCTCGTGGACCAGGCAAGCTCCTGGACTAGGCAAGCTCCTGGACCAGGCATGCTCCTGGACCAGGCAAGCTCCTGGACCTGGCAAGCTTTTGCACCAGGCAAAGTCGTGCACCAGGCATACTCCTGGACCAGGCAAGCTCCTGGACCAGGCACACTCTTGGACCAGGCACGCTCCTGGACCACGCAAGCTCTTGGACCAGGCAAGCTCCTGGACCAAGCAAGCTCCTTGACCAAGCAAGCTCGTGGACTAGGCACGCTCCTGAACCAGGCAAGCTTCTGGACCAGGCAAGCTCCTGGACCACGCAAGCTCCTAGACCAGGCAAGCTCCAGGAAGAAGCACGCTCGTGGACCAGGCACACTCCTGACCAGGCAAGCTCTTGGACCAGGAAGGTTCGTGGACCAGGCAAGCTCCTGGACTAGGCAAGCTCCTGGACCAGGCATGCTCCTGGACCACGCAAGCTCCTGGACCAGGCAAGCTTCTGGACCACGCAAAGTCGTGGACCAGGCATACTCCTGGACCAGGCAAGCTCTTGGACAAGGCAAGCTCTTGGACCAGGCATGCTCCTGGACCACGCAAGCTCTTGGACCAGGCAAGCTGTTGGACCAGGCAAGCTCCTAGACTAGGCAAGCTCCTTGACCAAGCAAGCTCGTGGACCAGGCACGCTCCTGGACCAGGCAAGCTCCTGGACGAGGCAAGCTCCTAGACCAGGCAAGCTCCTGGACCAGGCAAGCTCCTGGATTAGGCAAGCTCCTGGACCAGGCAAACTCGTGGACCAGGCACGCTCCTAGACCAGGCAAGCTCCTGGACCAAGCAAGATCCTAGACCAGGTAAGGTCCTGGACCAGGCAAGCTTCTGGACCACGCAAAGTCGTGGACCAGGCATACTCCTGGACCAAGCAAACTCCTGGACCGGGCAAGCTCCTGGACTAGGCAAGCTCTTGGACCAGGCACGCTCCTGGATCACGCAAGCTCTTGGACCGGGCAAGCTGTTGGACCAGGCAGGCTCCTGGACCACGCAAGCTCATTGACAAGCAAGCTCGTGGACCAGGCACGCTCCTGGACGAGGCAAGCACTTGGACCACGCAAGCTCATGGACCAGGCAAGCTCTTGGACCAGGCAAGCTCCGTGACCATGCAAGCTGCTAGACCAGGCAAGGTTCTAGACCAGGCAAGCTCCTGGACCAGGCAAGCTCATAGACCATGCACGCTCCTGAACGAGGCAAGCTTCTGGACCAGGCAAGCTCCTTGACCACGCAAGCACTTGGACCAGGCAAGCTCTAGGACCGGGAAAGCTCCTGGACCATGCAAGCTTCTGGACCAGGCAAGCTCTTGGACCAGGCATTCTCTTGAACCAGGCAAGCTCTTGGACGAGTGAAGCTCTTGGACCAGGCAAGCTCGTGAACTTGGCACGTTCCTGAACCAGGCAAGCTCTTAGACCAGGCAAGCTCTTGGACCAGGCAAGCTCCTGGACTTGGCAAGCTCCTGGACCAGGAACGCTCCTGGACAAGGCAAGCTCCTAGACTAGGCAAGCTCCTCGACCAGGCAAGCTCCTGGACCAGGCAAACTCGTGGACCATGCAAGAAGGAAGAAGGGGGCGGGGTGATGGAAAGTGGGAAAATGTGGCGGGGTGATGGAAAGCGGGAGAATGGGGTGGGGTTATGGGAAGCGGGAGATTGGGGCGGGGTGATGGAAAGCGGGAGAATGGAGCGGGGTGATGGAATGAGGGAGAATGGGGCGGGGTAATAGAAAGCGGGAAAATGTGGTTGGGTGATGGAAAGCGGGAGAATGGGGTGGGGTTATTGGAAGCGGGAGAATAGGGCGGGGTGATGGAAAGCGGGAGAATGGGGCGGGGTGATGGAAGGAGGGAGAATGGGGCGGGGTGATGGAAGGAGGGAGAATGGGGCGGGGTGATGAAAAGCGGGAGAATGGGACGGGGTGATGGAAAGAGGGAGAATGGGGCGGGGTGATGGAAAGAGGGAGAATGGGGCGGGGTGATGGAAAGAGGAAGAATGGAGCGGGGTGATGGAAGGAGGGAGAATGGGGCGGGGTGATGGAAAGCGGGAGAAAGGGGCGGGGTGATGGAAAGCGGGAGAATGGGGCGGGGTGATAGAAAGCGGGAGAATGGGGCTGGGTGATGGAAAGCGGGAGAATGGGGCGGGGTGATGGAAAGCGGGAGAATGGGGCGGGGTGATGGAAGGAGGGAGAATGGGGCGGGGTGATGGAAAGCGGGAGATTGGGGCAGGGTGATGGAAAGCGGGAGAATGGGACGGGGTGATGGAAAGCGGAAAAATGGGGCCTGGTGATGGTAAGCGGGAGAATGGGGCTAAGTGATGGAAAGCGGGAGAATGGGGCGGGGTGATGGAAAGCGGGAGAATGGGGCGGGGTGATGGAAGGAGGGAGAATGAGGCGGGGTGATGGAAGGAGGGAGAATGGGGCGGGGTGATGGAAGCAGGAGAATGGGGCGAGCTGATGGAAAGAGGGAAAATGGGGCGGGGTAATGGAAAGCAGAAGAATGGGGCGGGGTGATGGAAAGAGGGAGAATGGGGCGGGGTGATGGAAAGCGGGAGAATGGGGCGGGGTGATGGAAAGAGGGAGAGTGGGGGGCGGGGTGATGGAAAGAGGTAGAATGGGGAGGGGTGATGGAAAGAGGGAGAGTTGGGCGGGGTGATGGAAAGCGGGAGAATAGAGCGGGGTGATGGAAAGCGGGAGAATGGGGCGGGGTGATGGAAAGCGGGAGAATGGAGCGGGGTGATGGAAAGAGGGAGAATGGGGCGGGGTGATGGAAAGCGGGAGAATGGGGCGGGGTGACGGAAAGAGGGAGAATGGAGCGGGGTGATGGAAAGCAGGAGAATGGGGCGGGGTGACGGAAAGTGGGAGAATGGGGCGGGGTGATGGAAAAAGGGAGAATGGGGAGGGGTGATGGAAAGCAGGAGAATGTGGCGAGGTGATGGAAAGTGGGAGAATGGGGCAGGGTGATGGAAAGAGAGAAAATGGGGCGGGGTGATGGAAAGCGGGAGAGTGAGGTGGGGTGATAGAAAGAGGGTGAATGGGGAGGGGTGATAGAAAGAGGGAGATTTGGGTGGGGTGATGGAAAGCGGGACAATGGGGAGGGGTGATAGAAAGAGGGAGAATGGGGCGGGGTGATGGAAAGCGGGAGAATGGGGCGGGGTGATGGAAAGCGGGAGAATGGGGCGGGGTCATGGAAAGCGGGAGAATGGGGCGGGGTGATGGAAAGAGGGAGAATGGGGGGGGGGGGTGATGGAAAGCGGGAGAATGCGGCGGGGTGATGGAAAAAGGGAGAATAGGGAGGGGTGATAGAAAGAGGGAGAATTGGGCGGGGTGATGGAAAGCGGTAGAATGGGGAGGGGTGATAGAAAGAGGGAGAATGGGGCGGGGTGATGGAAAGCGGGAGAATGGGGCGGGGTGATGGAAAGAGAGAAAATGGGGCGGGGTGATGGAAAGGGGGAGAATGGGGCAGGGTGATGGAAAGAGGGAGAATTGGGCGGGGTGATGGAAAGCGGGAGAATGGGGCGGGGTGAAGGAAAGCGGGAGAATGGGGCGGGGTCATGGAAAGAGGGAGAATGGGGTGGGGTGATGGAAAGGGGGAGAATGGGGCAGGGTGATGGAAAGAGGGAGAATGGGGCGGGGTGATGGAAAGCGGGAGAATGGGGCGGGCTGATGGAAAAAGGGAGAATGGGGCGGGGTGATGGAAAGGGGGAGAATGGGGCAGGGTGATGGAAAGAGGGAGAATGGGGAGGGGTGATGGAAAGAGGGAGAATTGGGCAGGGTGATGGAAAGCGGGAGAATGGAACAAGGTTATGGAAAGCGGGAGAATGGGGCGGGGTGATAGAAAGAGGGAGAATGGGGCGCACTGATGGAAAGCGGGAGAATAGGACGAGGTGATGAAAAGCGGGAGAATTGGGCGAGGTGATGGATAGAGGGAGAATGGGGCAGGGCTGATGGAAAGAGGGAGAATGGGGCGGGGTGATGGAAAGAGGGAGAATGGGGCGGGGTGATGGAAAGCGGGAGAATGGGGCGAGGTGATGGAAAGAGGGAAAATGGGGAGGGGTGATGGAAAGCGGGACAATGTGGCGGGGTGATGGAAAGCGGGAGAATGGGGCGGGGTGATGGAAAGAGGGAAAATGGGGCGGGGTGATGGAAAGCGGGAGAATGGGGCGGGGTGATAGAAAGAGGGAGAATGGGGAGGGGTGATAGAAAGAGGGGAATTGGGCGGGGTGATGGAAAGCGGGAGAAGGGGGAGGGGTGATAGAAAGAGGGAGAATGGGGCGGGGTGATGGAAAGCGGGAGAATGGGGCGGGGTGATGGAAAGAGGGAAAATGGGGAGGGGTGATGGAAAGCGGGAGAATGTGGCGGGGTGATAGAAAGAGGGAGAATGGGGCGGGGTGATGGAAAGAGGAAAAATGGGGCGGGGTGATGGAAAGCGGGAGAATGGGGCGGGGTGATAGAAAGAGAGAGAATGGGGAGGGGTGATAGAAAGAGGGAGAATTGGGCGCGGCGATGGAAAGCGGGAGAAGGGGGAGGGGTGATAGAAAGAGGGAGAATGGGGCGGGGTGATGGAAAGCGGGAGAATGGGGCGGGGTGATGGAAAGATGGAAAATGAGGCGGGGTGATGGAAAGAGGGAGAATGGGGCGGGGTGATGGAAAGCGGGAGAATGGGGCGGGGTGATGGAAAGAGGGAGAATGGGGCGGGGTGATGGAAAGCGGGAGAATGGGGCAGGGTGTTGGAAAGCGGGAGAATGGGGCGGGGTGACGGAAAGTGGGAGAATGGGGCGGGGTGATGGAAAGAGGGAGAATGGGGAGGGGTGATGGAAAGCGGGAGAATGTGGCGGGGTGATGGAAAGAGGGAGAATGGGGCGGGGTGATGGAAAGAGGGAAAATGGGGCGGGGTGAAGAAAAGCGGGAGAATGGGCGGGGTGATAGGAAGAGGGAGAATGGGGAGGGGTGATAGAGAGAGGGAGAATTGGGTGGGGTGATGGAAAGCGGGAGAATGGGGAGGGGTGATAGAAAGAGGGAGAATGGGGCGGGGTGATGGAAAGTGGGAGAATGGGGCGGGGTGATGGAAAGCGGGAGAATGGGGCGGGGTGATGGAAAGCGGGAGAATGGGGCGGGGTGATGGAAAGCGGGAGAATGGGGCGGGGTAATGGAAAGCGGGAGAATGGGGCGGGGTGAGGGAAAGAGGGAGAATGGGGCGGGGTGATGGAAAGCGGGAGAACGGGGCGGGGGGATGGAAAGCGGGAGAATGGGGTAGGGTGATAGAAAGAGGGAGAATTGGGCGGGGTGATGGAATGCGGGAGAATGGGGAGGGGTGATAGAAAGAGGGAGAATGGGGCGGGGTGATGGAAAGCGGGAGAATGGGGCGGGGTGATGGAAAGAGAGAAAATGGGGCGGGGTGATGGAAAGCGGGAGAATGTGGCGGGGTGATGGAAAGAGGGAGAATGGGGCGGGGTGATGGAAAGAGGGAGAATGGGGCGGGGTCATGGAAAGCGGGAGAATGGGGTGGGGTGATGGAAAGAGGGAGAATGGGGCGGGGTGATGGAAAGCGGGAGAATGGGGCGGGGTGATGAAAAGAGGGAGAAAGGGGCGGGGTGATGGAAAGAGGGAGAATGGGGCGGGGTGATGGAAAGCGGGAGAATGGGGCGGGGTGATGGAAAGCGGGCGAATGGGGGGGGGGGGGGGGGGTTGATGGAAAGAGGGAGAATTGGGCTGGGTGATTGAAAGCGGGAGAATGGAGCGGGGTGATGGAAAGCTGGAGAATGGGGCGGGGTGATGGAAAGCAGGAGAATGGGGCGGGCTGATGGAAAGAGGGAAAATGGGGCGGGGTAATGGAAAGCGGAAGAATGGGGCGGGGTGATGGAAAGAGGGAGAATGGGGCGGGGTGATGGAAAGCGGGAGAATGGGGCGGGGTGATGGAAAGAGGGAGAGTGGGGGGGCGGGGTGATGGAAAGAGGTAGAATGGGGAGGGGTGATGGAAAGAGGGAGAATTGGGCGGGGTGATGGAAAGCGGGAGAATAGAGCGGGGTGATGGAAAGCGGGAGAATGGGGCGGGGTGATGGAAAGCGGGAGAATGGGGCGGGGTGATGGAAAGAGGGAGAATGGGGCGGGGTGATGGAAAGCGGGAGAATGGGGCGGGGTGACGGAAAGAGGGAGAATGGAGCGGGGTGACGGAAAGAGGGAGAATGGGGCGGGGTGACGGAAAGTGGGAGAATGGGGCGCGGTGATGGAAAGCGGGAGAGTGAGGTGGGGTGATAGAAAGAGGGTGAATAGGGAGGGGTGATAGAAAGAGGGAGAATTGGGTGGGGTGATGGAAAGCGGGACAATGGGGAGGGGTGATAGAAAGAGGGAGAATGGGGCGGGGTGATGGAAAGCGGGAGAATGGGGCGGGGTGATGGAAAGAGGGAGAGTGGGGGGCGGGGTGATGGAAAGAGGTAGAATGGGGAGGGGTGATGGAAAGAGGGAGAATTGGGCGGGGTGATGGAAAGCGGGAGAATAGAGCGGGGTGATGGAAAGCGGGAGAATAGGGCGGGGTGATGGAAAGCGGGAGAATGGGGCGGGGTGATGGAAAGAGGGAGAATGGGGCGGGGTGATGGAAAGCGGGAGAATGGGGCGGGGTGACGGAAAGAGGGAGAATGGAGCGGGGTGATGGAAAGCAGGAGAATGGGGCGGGGTGATGGAAAGTGGGAGAATGGGGCGGGGTGATGGAAAGCGGGAGAGTGAGGTGGGGTGATAGAAAGAGGGTGAATGGGGAGGGGTGATAGAAAGAGGGAGAATTGGGTGGGGTGATGGAAAGCGGGACAATGGGGAGGGGTGATAGAAAGAGGGAGAATGGGGCGGGGTGATGGAAAGCGGGAGAATGGGGCGGGGTGATGGAAAGCGGGAGAATGGGGCGGGGTCATGGAAAGCGGGAGAATGGGGCGGGGTGATGGAAAGAGGGAGAATGGGGGGGGGGTGATGGAAAGCGGGAGAATGCGGCGGGGTGATGGAAAAAGGGAGAATAGGGAGGGGTGATAGAAAGAGGGAGAATTGGGCGGGGTGATGGAAAGCGGGAGAATGGGGAGGGGTGATAGAAAGAGGGAGAATGGGGCGGGGTGATGGAAAGCGGGAGAATGGGGCGGGGTGATGGAAATAGAGAAAATGGGGCGGGGTGATGGAAAGGGGGAGAATGGGGCAGGGTGATGGAAAGAGGGAGAATAGGGCGGGGTGATGGAAAGCGGGAGAATGGGGCGGGGTGAAGGAAAGCGGGAGAATGGGGCGGGGTCATGGAAAGCGGGAGAATGAGGCGGGGTGATGGAAAGCAGGAGAATGGGGCGGGGTGATGGAAAGCAGGAGAATGGGGTGGGGTGATGGAAAGAGGGAGAATGGGGCGGGGTGATTGAAAGCGGGAGAATGGGGCGGGGTGATGGAAAGCGGGAGAATGGGGCGGGGTGATCGAAAGTGGGAGTATGGGGCGGGGGGATGGCAAGCGGGAGAATGGGGTGGGTGATGGAAAGAGGTAGAATTGGGCGGGGTGATGGAAAGAGGGAGAATGGGGAGGGGTGATGGAAAGAGGGAGAATTGGGCGGGGTGATGGAAAGCGGGAGAATGGAGCGGGGTGATGGAAAGCGGGAGAATGGGGCGGGCTGATGGAAAGAGGGAGAATGGGGCGGGGTGATGGAAAGGGGAGAATGGGGCAGGGTGATGGAAAGATTGAGAATGGGGCGGGGTGATGGAAAGCGGGAGAATGGGGCGGGCTGATGGAAAAATGGAGAATGGGGCGGGGTGATGGAAAGGGGGAGAATGGGGCAGGGTGATGGAAAGAGGGAGAATGGGGAGGGGTGATGGAAAGAGGGAGAGTTGGGCAGGGTGATGGAAAGCGGGAGAATGGAACAAGGTGATGGAAAGCGGGAGAATGGGGCGGGGTGATAGAAAGAGGGAGAATGGGGCGCAGTGATGGAAAGTGGGAAAATAGGACGGGGTGATGAAAAGCGGGAGAATTGGGCGAGGTGATGGATAGAGGGAGAATGGGGCAGGGCTGATGGAAAGAGGGAGAATGGGGCGGGTTGATGGAAAGAGGGAGAATGGGGTGGGGTGATGGAAAGCGGGAGAATGGGGCGGGGCGATGGAAAGCGGGCGAATGGGGGGGGGGGGGGTTGATGGAAAGAGGGAGAATCGGGCTGGGTGATTGAAATCGGGAGAATGGAGCGGGGTGATGGAAAGCAAGAGAATGGGGCGGGGTGATGGAAAGCAGGAGAATGGGGCGGGCTGATGGAAAGAGGGAGAATGGGGCGGGTGATGGAAGGAGGGGATTGGGGCGGGGTGATGGAAGAAGGGAGAATGGGGCGGGATGATGGAAAGCGGGAGAATGGGGCAGGGTGATGGAAGCAAGGAGAATGGGGCGAGGTGATGGAAAGCGGGAGAATGGGGCGGGGTGATGGAAAACGGGAAAATGGGGCGGGGTGATGGAAAGCGGGAGAATGGGGCGGGGCGATTGAAGGAAGGAGAATAGGGCCGGGTGATGGAAGGAGGGGATTGGGGCGGGGTGATGGAAGGAGGGAGAATGGGGCGGGGGTGATACAAAGCGGGAGAATGGGGCGGGGTGATGGAAAGAGGGAAAATGGGGCGGGGTAATGGAAAGCGGGAGAATGGGGCGGGGTGATGGAAAGCGGGAGAATGGGGCGGGGTGATGGAAAGCGGGAGAATGGGGTGGGGTGATGGAAAGCGGGAGAATGGGGTGGGGTGATGGAAAGCAGGAGAATGGTTTGGGGTGATGGAAGGAGGGAGAATGGGGCGGGGTGATGGAAGGTGGGAGGATGAGGTGGGTAGATGGAAAGCGGGAGAATGGGGCGGGATGATGGAAAGCGGGAGAATGGGGCGGGGTGGTGGAAAGCGGGAGAATGGGGCGGGGTGATGGAAAGCAGGAGAATGGGGCGGGGTGATGGAAAACGGGAAAATGGGGCGGGGGTGATGGAAAGCGGGAGAATGGGGCAGGGTGATGGAAGGCAGGAGAATGGGGCGGGGTGATGGAAGGAGGGAGAATGGGGTGGGGTGATGGAAAGAGGGAGATTGGGGCGAGGTGATGGAAAGCAGGAGAATGGGGCGGGGTGATGGAAAGCGGGAGAATGGGGCGAGGTGATGGAAAGCGGGAGAATGGGGCGGGGTGATGGAAGGAGGGAGAATGGGGCGGGGTGATGGAAGGAGGGAGAATGGGGCGGGGTGATGGAAGGAGGGAGAATGGGGCGGGGCGATCGAAAGCGGGAGAATGGGGCGGGTTGATGGAAAGCGGGAGAATGGGGCGGGGTGATGGAAAGCGTGAGTATGGGGCGGGGAGATGGAAAGCGGGAGAATAGGCTGGGGTGATGGAAAGTGGGACAATGGGGCGGGATGATGGAAAGCGGGAGAATGGGGCGGGGTGATGGAAAGCGAGAGAATGGGGTGGGGTGATAGAAAGCGGGAGAATGGGGTGGGGTGATGGAATTCGGGAGAATGGGGCGGGGTGATGGAAGGAGGAAGAGGTGATGGAAAGCGGGGGAATGGGGCGGGATGATGGGAAGCGGGAGAATGAGGCGGGGTGATGGAAGGAGGGAGAATGGGGCGGGGTGATGGAAAGCGGGAGAATGGGGCGGAGTGATGGAAAGCGGGAGAATGGGGCGGAGTGATGGAAAGCGGGAGAATGGGGCGAGGTGATGGAAAGCGGGAGAATGGGGCGGGGTGTTGGAAAGTGGGAGAATGGGGCGGGGTGATGAAAAGCGGGAGAATGGGGCGGGGTGATGGAAGCGGGAGAATGGGGCGGGGTGATGGAAAGCGGGAGAATGGGGCGGGTGATGATAGCGGGTGAATGGGGCGGGGTGATGGAAAGCGGGAGAATGGGGCGGGGTGATGGAAAGCAGAAGAATGGGGCGGGGTGATGGAAAGCGGGAGAATGGGGCGAGGTGATGGAAAGCAGGAGAATGGGGCGGGGTTGTTGGTGCAACCCTATGGTTTGCACTCGGCTTGTTGTCCGTGTGCGTGCATGTGTGTGTGTCTATGGAATGGTATGAGGGCATGGGATAATATATATTTAATGCTTATAATTGTGTGTGAATGTTGAGTCATGATGTCGAGTGTATGTGTCGAGTCAATAGCGAGTTATGGCTAGACGCGTGTTACGCGGTCGTTTGTGTCTCGCGCGCGGTTTCTATTTTGTCGTGCGCGGTTTCTCTTTTGTCCTGTGTCGAACGTTCAATGTGTTGCAGGTGTGTGCAGCAGACCCATCAAGAACTCAAGGATGAGTTTGTGATGAAGAGCCGAGCCTTGGTGTCAATCCACAAGTGATTTCAAAGCTCGCCAAAAGGGTACACCTCAAGATATTGAAGATAGTTACATTACTTTGTGTAGTGTAACATTTCACTTGGTGTAGGCCCTACTGAAGGGTAGTTTCGAGACCCTTCGTGGTTGGGGACAGTGTGGCACTGTTCCACATCACTGTACCTCGGCTCTTGGGGTTTGTAGGAGCTGGGAGTCATTCCCAACTCGTAACTCTTCCTAACTCTTCCTATCTTGTGTTCTAAGACTATAGTAACTGCCATAGTGCCGTTCGTTCAAACCAACCCTGTGTCGTCAATACTTGGTCAAATCGTGCGATCTAAATTGCCTATTGTAGGCGACAATAAGACGCTCCAGATCCAAGCTGAATCAAGTCATTTAAAGCTGTGACCAAAACGCTATGAACGTTTGACGCCGCTGTGCAG